CAAGATTATAAATAATTATAGCCAATGTTAAATAGGGAAATTGTCTACTTTCTGTCCTGAGCAAAAGTTCATAATGGACGCATTTAATAATAAATTTACATATATGCCAAATGATTGGGCATGACTGACGTATGTGAAATTTGATTGGCTTATGCATATCTGATAATTGATTGGTTTCTATATTTCTATGCATTGTTTGAAGTTTCATATATAAGTTTGAACACGGAAGAATACATTTAGTTCATTCTGAGATACCACCTTGTGTCTGTGTGCATTTCCTGTGTCTCGGAGTGGACTCCAGATAAATTTAGGTTAAAATGTATTCTGTCTTGGTTAAAAAAAAAAAAACCAATAAGTGTATGTTAATTGGTTTGTAAGTACACACACACGGTAATCAGCGACTTATAGGGGTACTGTGAGAGTGTGGAGGGTAATCTGGTGCCAACAGACCCTCTCTGGGAGGTACACTGACACCAATATAATGATCAGATATAATACTGCACACCGTCACTGTACTAATGACCCTTGCTGGGAAGGACTTAACATTAATGGGCAATCAAAGTGATTGCTGTGTGCCTAACAAGTGTAATGTGTAGTATGTTCTGCTTTTACTAAGATCTGGCTGTTTAAACAGCCAGAGCGCCGATTTGTGTACAGAGCCCTGTGTTTGTGATGTGATTGGCTACAGCCAATCAGCAAGTCCACAACCAAAGTCATTGGCCGGAACCTACTGACAAACATGTGCTATAGCAAATAACAGCAAACCCAGAGGAAGCGGATCCTGTACATGTATGTGCAGCCAGTCTACAGTACATGTACTTTGGGCGGGTAGCAGTTAAATGCTGCTCAACCTGTAAGGCTTCATTCACACCTGGGCAATTTCAGGGGTGGTCACAGCCGTAATACAATGTAAAAAGTACAGTACAATGCAAAACGCTAGTTCAGGTGCCATTACTTTCAACGGCACCTAAAATGCGGTGTGGTTGTGCCGCAATTGTCGTGCAATTTATCACGTGGCAAACTGCATTGTGTGAGGCTTGTTGCCCAAAAGATGCTCCTGCTCCTTTTTGGTGTGACAAGCTTCATGTGATTTGCCATGACTGCAGCACGATTAATCACACGAGAATTGTGGCAAAACTGCACCATGGTTTAGGTTCCATTGAAAATAATGGCACCTGAAACTGTTTTACAATTGTAGTGTGTTCTGAGATTGCAGGCAGAATGCATATTTTACTCAAATACTGACCACTTATTTTCAGCCGGATCTTAGGCAGCTGACAGCAGCGCAAAATCACTGAGCACAATCTAGCTGTGTGCTTGGGCTTATGATATACAATAGTTCTGTGCTCAGATTTAAAAAAAAAACCAAAAAAAACAACACAATACTATTTGCTGTATTGACCTGAACACAGCATTATGTTTTGTTTTTTTTTTACACCAGAGAGTGTGAGCCCCAAGTTGTTAGGCTACAAAAATGGAGTCTAGGCTCACATTAAAGGTCCATTCACACGGCATAGGAGTATTTTCTACATAAACACAATTTCTTTATTGCAGAACATCCTACAGAAAATCTGCATCTATATCACTTGCATTTAGCTGTGTACAGCATTGTTTCATTCAAACAAAAGGAAATATTTATGCACACGTGTTTAGACATGCTCTCAGATAAAATCTGCAGATCTACGAGGCCCTGCATGCAGCCTAATATTTTTCTGCACAGCAAAACACAGAGCTCATTTAACAGCTAGGCGCAGCTGTGTGTATGGTCCCATTGATTACTATGGTGCTGTGTTTAGGTGTGCACTGTGTATAGTTTTGTGCACATCTAAATGCAGCATTTTTCTGCCCATGTGAATGAGACTTAAGCACTTATTAACTGTTCACAGGTGGCTCAAGCGGTTTTTAGAAGAGCAGTGGGGTGCAACGGACAGACACCTCATGAGGAGTTACAGTCTACCAACAATTAAACTAGTTTAATGCACATTAAAATATTGATTAGGATAAATAATGCATGTGGACTTTATCCTGAAGCAGAGCCATTAGACGGAGTGTAAGTAATAAGCATTTTCATAATGTATCCTGTTCAACTAGCCATTAGGGGACTGGCTCCTCCCTCTTGTTATACATGACAAGACTGATATATGGGCCTTTATATTCTGCTCATGCCTGCTCTACATCTTTGAGGTGCCCTATACCAGCTGAACTAATTGGAGGCATTTATTATTTCTCCAATAAATCACAATACAAAGCATTTTAAAAAAATGGCTCAGTTTGCAAAACAAAGCCTCACTGCAGTGTTTGGGCCTAGACAGTGTCACTACAATGGTAGTTCTCTGTATTCCCACTTATGCAGGCAATAGACGGGGAGAAAAACCGGCCGTTTTTTTAAACAAAAAAACAAAATCGGTCGTTCAATAGGCCGACGTTACCACCAACAGTTATAAAAAAAAAAAAAACGGCCGATTTTCTTCCCATCTACAGCCGACATTTAATTACTTCTGTCCCTGCAGAGAGCCCCACTATTATATTTGACATTAAAAAGTATTACGGTTGCAACATTGCATCTATTTGTATCCATTTCGGATACAGATGTTTTTTCGGATACAAATAGATACATTGTTGCAACCGCAATACTTTTTAATGTCAAATATAATCGCGGACTGGAATTCTTCCACTTCTTATTCTTTTCTTTCTGCTTCTTTTTTTTTTCTTTCTTCTTCTTCTTCTTGCAGGTCACAGCTCATGCGCAGATTTTTTTTTTTCCAACTTTACCGATCAAAAAAATCTGACAAAATCCAGAAAAACGGCCGACCAATTAACCCATTAACGGTGCAAAAATCGGCCGATTTTTTTTTCGGCCAATTTTCGACTCATCTTTGGCCTGCATTAGTGCTGATATTTCAAGGCTAGAATTCACAAATGGTTTTGTTAATGTGCCAGACAGCAAAGCCTTGCCCAGCTGCACAGATTAAAACACCAAACAAGGGCATAATATAGTCACATTAGTTAGCATCTTCATTCTCTCAGATGTATCTCTCAAAACTGCACTTTTTATTCTATTTATTCTACAGTATGGGGAATGAAAGTGAATTAATTTGCTAGTTTCAGATGAAAAGGACCTTTAAAGTTTGTACTAAAAGGCAAAACACTTTCAAATTTAGATAAGAGTCATGAAATTTTGGAGTTACTAGAAAAGGAATGGAGAGGAAGATTATCAACAGGGATACTTCAAGTGACAACCAAGAGGGAATTCCCTTATGTTGGAAATACCATTCCTATGGTAGTCAGGCAGCACACACATTATTATTATACAGGATTTATATAGCGCCAACAGTTTGCTCAGCGCTTTACAATATAAAGGGAGACAATACAGTAACGATACAGTTCAATACAATAGGGAAAGGAGGGCCCTGCTCCTTGGAGCTTACAATCTAGGAGCCTATCCAGGGGCAAATCTGGTAAGTGGCTTACCTACCAGTATTTGTGTATGGGAAAGAGCCAATGCACTAGCAGGAACCCATTGGGAAAAAAAACTGCATGCAGATTGAACCCCAATTAATGTGTTCCTAAAATTCATGAAATCCAGCACAGTGTCCTAAACAGCACCAATCTGAGTCTGACGAGGTTTACAGACTTATTTTTTTTTTTTTTTTATTATAGATTTTCTCCCTGCGCTATGCACAGCGGCTGTTTTCCTCTCCTGTGCACTACTCTACAAATCCAATCTGCCATTGTGTCAGCCTACTCTAAGGCGCATTCTTACCCATTTTCATTCATCAATGCCAACTTCCACAACTGTTAGCCATCAAGGACCAGCAAAAACATGAACGATGAGGTGTGGTCTGGTGAATTAGGCTACATTCACACTAGCGTTGTATGCAGGCGGCAGAAAGGCGTTTGGGAAGCGTTTTTACCTCTTCCCAAATGCCTCAGACAATTCTGCACATTGCAGTACATAGTGCTGTTCTAACGGGAGCATTAGCGTCGCGGCAAAACGGACGCCTCTGGGTCGAGTCAGGAGGCGTTGAAGCCTCCTATTCTAGTCTATGGTGCCGCTCCACAAACGCCCGGCCGGCGTTTGCGGTGCGGTTGCAGGGCGTGTGCAGAGCGGTAACACCCTTTAACTTCATTATAGGCATTTGTGGGGCGTTTTTTTAATGCTCAGCAAACGCCTAGCAACCACCGCTGAACCGCGCATGCGGCGTTTGCAGAGCATTAAAAAACGCTCTGCAAACGCCGGACCAACGCTTGCCAAACGCTATAGGGGCGTTTGGCAAGAGTTGGTAAAACAGTCAAGTGTGAACGAGCCCTTAGGAACAGGAGGTTTTCAGTGCCTTTGCATTCCAGCGCTCAATGCATTGGCACGTTAAAAGAAAGTTCACCTTAGGAGTGTGCAGAAGAGGGTGGCTAAGCAAGCACATACAGTGGCCATGTAGACTGAATGTAGCCACCCTAATAACAGAAGCTGGATGACAGCTTTTTATAAAGTGGATGTAATGATCGACACTGAAAGTAAACAGATGACATGAGATGCAGGTATCAGTATGATAGTTTTCTTTTAGCACTGGGCTTAGTGATACTTTAAAAAGGTGCTTCGTGGACACAACGGAAAAGATTTCGACAGCAGGCTGTGCAGAACCGGGTGAAGCCCCCCTCCATGATCTCCTCAGCAGGGGTGGACTGACCATTTGGAAACTCGGGCACTGCCCAAGGACCTGGGGTCAGTAGGGGGGCCCCATGAGATGCCCCTGGTACCATTTTCATAGGTTTTTTTGAGTTTGGGTAAGGACACAGGGGCCCCATGATCCCCCATGAGTTGTCAGTCCGCCCCTGCTCCTCAGTGTACTCTGACACCCTCTCCCCAGTGCTCCCCATCATCCCCAGTGTTCTGTCACCCCCTATGACTCTCATGAACCCCCATCACCCTAGTTTCCTACCACTTGTTTCCCCTGTGACCCCCTCCTCGTCACCCCTCTCCCTAGAGTCCCCTGCCCCCTCACCTTGTCAGAGTCCAGATCCGGGTCCGCCTGGCACAGCCGGTACAGGAAGGATTTGGAGTCTCTGCACAGGGTTTGTCGGGTTGCCAGGAAACACGTCCCCCCCACATTGAGCCGGACCCACTTAGACACCCCACCTCTCTCCCCTGTAGACAGCTCCTCCGCCATGTCGATCAATTTCGGGAACTGTCCGCTATTTAATAGTGTCCCCTTCTGCGGGTTGGGTCTTCCTTTCCACTCTCCGGAAGTTCCGGATCCGGGGACAGTGCTCTGTCTTGCACGCAGCGGAAGTAAACAAAGGAAGGCCCCTGATAGTGATTCTATATTTGAATATTACTGGTCTATGGGAGGAAGGGGCCCGCCTGGATATGAGGCGACCTGTGATTGGCTCTTCTACAGAACGGTCACGCCTAAGCTGCAGAGCTGTACAAATAAAGCTGGGTTTACATTACAGCATAGCCTCTGTCTGCATCCTGATTGCTCTGTTCAGACTTCTTGTACACAGAGTGAAAAAATGGAACATTTTCTTACCGATCTAGATATACACTATATAGCCAAAAGTATTGGTACGTCTGGCTTTACACACACATGAACCTTCCCAGTCTCAATCCGTAGGGTTCAGTATTGAGTTGGCCCACCCCTTACAGCTATAACAGCTTCAACTCTTCTGAAAAGGCTGTCCATGAGGTTTAGGAGTGTGTCTATGGGAATGTTTGACCATTCTTCCAGAAGCGTATTTGTGAGGTCAGGCACTGATGTCAGATGAGAAGGCCTGGCTCGCAGTCTCCGCTCTAATTCATCCCAAAGGTGTTCTATCGGGTTGGGTTTAAAACTCTGTGCAGGCCAGTCAAGTTCTTGCACCCCATACTCACTCATCCATGTCTTTATGGACTTTGCTTTGTGCACTGGTGCGCAGTCATGTTGGAACAGGAAGGGGTCATCCCTAAAGTGTTCCCACAAAGTTGGGAGCATGAAATTGTCCAAACTGTCTTGGTATGCTGACGCCTTAAAAGTTCCCTCCACTGAAGGGGCCAAGCCCAACCCCTGAAAAACAACCCCGCACCATAATCTCCCCTCCACCAAACTTTACACTTGGCACAATGCAGTCAGGTAAGTACTATTCTCCTGGTGCAAACACCAAACTTGTCCATCGGATTGCCAGAGCGTGATTCGTCCCTCCAGAGAACACGTGTGCACTGCTCTAGAGTCCAGTGGTGGCGTGCTTTATGCCACTGGAGCCGATGCTTTGCATTGCACTTGGTGATGTGCGGCTTGGATGCAGCTGCTCGGCCATGGAAACCCATTTCATGAAGCTCTCTATGCACTGTTGTTGTGCTAATTTGAAGGCCACATGAAGTTTGGAGGTTTTAGCTATTAACTCTGAAGACAGCTGGCCACTTCTGTGCACTGTGCGCTTCAGCATGCGCTGACCCCCCTCTTACGTGGCCTACCAGTTCGTGGCTGGGTTCCTGTTCCCAGCTGTTTCCACTTTGTTATAGTACCACTAACAGTTGATCGTGGAATATTTAGTAGCAAGGAAATTTAACGGATGGACTTGATACCACGCTTGGATTTCCCAAGCTCCTGTGGGCGACCCATTTTTTCACAAATGTTCGTAGAAGAAGTTTGCATGCCTAGGTGCTTGATTGTATACACCTGTGGCCATGGAGGTGATTGGAACACCTGAATCCAATGATTTCAAGGGGTGTCCCAATACTTTTGGCAATATAAGGTAGTTGTCTATAAGATAATGACCATACATGTGTAAAGATCAGTATTAGAGCGATGGGTACAGAGCCCATTCGAATGCAGTAATTGACACAATGCTGACGCATGTCAAGCAACACCTTGGACAGAGGGGTGGCGGTGGACGTGGTATACTTGGACAGAGGGGTGGCGGTGGACATGGTATACTTGGACAGAGGGGTGGCGGTGGACGTGGTATACTTGGATTTTGCAAGAGCGTTTGACAAGGTTCCCCACACACGGCTAATGTGTAAGGTAAAGTCTACAGGCTTGGAAAAATCTGTATGTAAATGGATAGAAAACTGGCTAAAAGATCGTATTCAGAGAGTAGTGGTTAATGAGTCATACTCTGAATGGTCTAGGGTTGTCAGTGGTGTACCCCAAGGTTCAGTGTTGGGACCCTTACTTTTTAATACATTTATAAACGATATAGGGTCTGGGATTATAAACCCCATTTCATTCTTTGCAGATGACACCAAGCTGTGCATTGGAATAACGTCCTTACAGGATGTCTTCAATTTACAAGCCGACCTCAATGCACTGTGTAATTGGGCAACTATGTGGCAAATGAGGTTTATTGTGATAAATGTAAGGTTATGCACTTAGGGGCTAAGAATAAGCATGCATCATACATACTAGGGGGGAGTACAACTGGGGGAATCAATGGTGGAGAAGGATCTGGGGGTTCTGGTAGATCACAAGCTTAATAATGGCATGCAATGCCAAGCTGCAGAGTCTAAAGCGAGCAAAAATCTCATTTGTATTAAAAGAGGTATAGACTCCAGAGAGAGAGATATCATATTACCCCGGTACAAATCATTAGTAACACCTCATCTGGAATATGCAGTTCAGTTTTGAGCACCAATTCACAAAAAGAACATTGGGGAACTGGAGAAAGTACAGAGAAGGGCAACCAAACTGATAAGAGGCAATGAGGAGCTCAGCTATGAGGAAAGATTAGAGGAACTGCATTTATTCTCTCTTGAGAATAGGAGATTAAGGGGGGATATGATATAAATACATCAGTGGTTCATATAGTGAACTCGGTGTAGAGCTATTCACCCTGAGGTCATCACAGAGGACAAGGGGGCACTCTTTATGTCTGGAGGAAAATAAATTTAATCTCCAAATATGGAAAGGATTCTTCACAGTAAGAGCTGTGAGAATATGGAATAGACTCCCTCAAGAGTTGGTTCTGGCCAGCTCAGTGGATTGCTTTAAAAAAAGGAATCTTTCCTAGATACACAGAATATAACTGGTTATATTTATACATTTATAGGTAAAGTTGATCCAGGGAATATCCAATTGCCTCTCGGGGGATCAGGAAGGATTTTTTTTCCCAGCAGGAGCAAATTGGATCATGCTTTGTTGGGTTTTTTGCCTTCCTCTGGATCAATTATGGGTATAGGATTATAACTTTCCTTTTTTTTTTTTTTGGTTGAACTGGATGGACTTTTGTCTTCTTTCAGCCAGATTAACTATGTAACCACTTACGAACCAGCCACCCACATTTTACTGCGGGTGGCTAGTATAGGCACAGCGACGTACCTGTATGTCTCTACCTTCTTCCGGGTTCAGGGTACGTGCATGCAGCCATCCTCCACCAATTGATTAGACACAGCGGGATTTTGTCAGCAGATTGCAGCCAATGATTCATGGCCGGGACCTGCTGATCAGCTGTCTCCAATCACAGCCCAGAGCCCTGTGTTGACAATTAACACAGATCATTGTACAGAGGAAATTACCTCTTTGCTTCAACTCCCTGCAAAGCAGGGAGAAAAAACAACCAGATTTTTTTGTAAAAAGCAGTACATATTACACACATTACCACTTGTCATGCTCACGCTTAAAGTAACACTAAAGCTTTGGGGTTTTTTGTTTTTTTAAATAACAAATATGTCTACACTTACCTGCTCTGTGCAGTGATTTTGTACAGAGCAACCTGGATTCTCCTCTTTTCAGGTCCCATCTGGTGCTCCTGGCAGCTCCCTCTGAAGCAGTGCCCCCAAGGGAAAGCTGCTTACCCTGGGGGCACCTCTGCATGCTCCTCCTTGAGCCACTTTTCTATACATTCATAGTACACATAGAGCTGTGGTTTTGCCCACCCCACTCTCTCCTCATTGGCTCACTGGCTGTAATTTACAAAAAAAAGATTTGTTTATAAAATGTTTTTTTTTTGTTGTTTTGTTTTTTATTATTGCTGTTTCGCATCTAGAGAAAGTCCATGAGCTGTAGATATTTAAGGTGGTATTAAACCCAAAACCAAAAATGTAATATATTGCAGCTTACCAATCATTAGATGTGGTGACTGCATTATTTTTCTTTTGTATACTTTTCCCCAGTTTTTATCTTCTATATTAGTGAGACACCACTCTGGGTGAAGAAGAGCTCTGAGGAAGAAGGCATAGCCTTCGAAACGCGTAAGATATACTGAGTGTCTACCCCCATGATGGGATTCGCACTGGCTTCTTATCTTTGAAGTCCCTTTAAGGACTACATGCCTGATTTTATTCGCTGTTTGTGAGTACCTATCTTCTATTAATAAATTCTGTTACTGAGGTAATGTGCAAGGTTGGTGCGCTTCTTGTTTTTTGTTTCACTTTGCAGTATCGATCGGGCTTCCCCAGCCCTGTTTTGGAGCTGCACGACCTTGAAATATACTGGTGGTCGCTTGCTCTGGTGTTGGTTCCATCTATTTGCCACCAGTCTGGGCCCTAGAGCGCAGGAGAAATCGCAGCGAGTGTTAGATGTATTAGCAGATTAAAATACACTAACAAATTGAAGCCAAACGCCAGCTAACACTTTATAAGCAGTTACAGCAAACCGTTATTTCCCTTGCGGATAAAGGTTTTACATAAATAAACAAAAGCTGATCATTGTAATCACCCTTGTCAGTGTTAACTGATTTGCCTCATCTGTAACTGATCATCTGCTGGATCATCTGCTGAAGAAATTCTAAAAAAAAAATAAAAATAATGAAGGCTGCTATCAAATCTTAGAACTGGTAAACTGCAATATAATAAGTGTTTGCTTTTGGGTTTAATACTGCTTTCAGCTGTAAGGGTGCACATTGTAACATACTTGCCATTTGCACCTAATCTTAGTGTTCCATGTAGAGGTTCCATTTCCTGGAAACTATTCTTGCAGTAATATTTATGTTTTTCAGAAGTAACCAAATGAGTTAATCACACAGTGTGAAACATGTAGTGAGACAATTTGGAGGCTGCCATTGTCACTTCTAATTCTCAAAATACTAGTTGCCTGGTTGTCATGCTCATCCAATGGCTACAATACATTATCAGCCACAGACCAGGAAAAAGTGTGCACAGCAGGGTTCCTCACAATTAACACACTTGCTTGTGCTGGATCTGCACTGGTAGCCATCATACTTCTTTCAGTACAGGTTTCCATCAAAGTTAAAAGCCGAAGTCGAGGTATAATCTTTATTGCATAGTTACATGGGTCGCTATGGGGAGTTGACAATCACTGTAGTAGTTGCAGCTGAAATT